AGCCTGTCAGTTGTTCTGTATGCATGTCAACACTTGGTATTTTAAGGCCTTTGGTTTTAGCCATTGTGTTAGGCCTTTATAGCAGGAGTTGGGGGTGAGGGAGGAGGGGACTGGGTTTCCTCTGGTCCCGATGTTCTCAGAGATGTGGACACCATGCCTGTGCCTGCCCCTCAGTAGAGATGCAGACACAGACCCTCACTCTCCTGAAAGTCCAGTGCATTATGACCCTCCCTGGAGGGGGATGGGTGCACACAGAGGCCCGGGGCTTGGTTCAAGGACAGGGATCCATATTCTCATGTACAAACTCTTCTCCTTCTTGCACACAACATAGTGAGTCCAGGAGGCCCCTCTCCTCAGCACCCCCATAAATGCTCACAGGCAATTTCAATCCTGGTCCCAGGGGTGGGAAGGATTACAGTGCCCCCTCTGTTTTCTGCTTCTCTGGAAGGCCTGTGTGAGAGGCTGTCTAAACAGAGGTACAGTGCTGGTGTAATGGGACTCATGGTGACTGCCCATGTCCCCTTTTGTCCTATCGTATTTGAGGCTGGAGGATTCATGGTGGGGGGCTTGGGAACCCCATCAGGTAGGGGTCTATCAGAACTGAACTAGGGTTCTGGCTAATCCAACACCATTCTCTCTGCAGGATTCTTGCTAATTTTGACACTGCAGAGAGGAAGGCTGTGCCCCAAGTGCAGGCCTGCTTGGAGAGGTCATGCCCTCAGCCCAGTGCCCAGGACCTGTGCTGAGCTCCAGTGTGACACCTCCAGTCTGTGTGATTTCACAGGCAGCACAGTGAGGGGGTGGTGGGACCCAGAGGGAACCCAAGTAGGAGACTCTGCTCACCGACTGGGGGATCAGTCGCCTACAGGGAAGCATCAGGACAAGCCCCCCTGCAGTGTGCCTTTGGCATGTGGATTATTTTGAGCTGAAGTCCCTTGACCACTAAAGTCAGGAACAGTTCTTTACCCTCCCACCAAGGCCTAAACACAAAGTACAAATTTGAAGTCCTCCTTTGCAAAGGAGTTTGACCCTGTAGGGAAATCTCAGGTTGTTATGGAAGAGGGATCTGGGGAAGGCTCTTCCAATTGAGGGACCAGCATGTAGACCACAGAGTAATGCTTGTTTACCACATCTCCTGTCTCACCCTATAATCTTCCATGCCCTGGGATCTCCCCTATTCCTGAGCTATGCCAACAGACACATGAGCCTCCATCTGGATGCCTTTGTGGGCTCCCTTCTTTGTGGACATGTATGCATGTGGCTGTGAATGGCCAGCAGCTTCTAAACACCTGTGCACACCCAGTATGAAGGGTTCTTACCTGTGCCTACCTGGGGTTCATCAAGCAAGACAGGCAGCCTCCAGGGAGCCACCCTCATCAGGAGAACAGGTGGCTAGAACATCAGATGCACATGCAAAGGTCAGTGAAGGGGCTGGGCTGGAGGCTGGCAGCCTGAGCCTGCTGGGAGTGACCGTGGAGGCCTTTCCCTCCATGTGGGCTGACCTAAGGTTGTGTCCTCAGGAAGATCGGGGCATCCCAAGGCCCTGTGGGATGCTGTCTACATACTTTGCAGAGACATGCAGCACTGTAGCTGAGGGCCCCAGATCATAGAATATTCTATTTCTGCCTCTGTCAGAAATCTTCTCCCTGATTTAAGGGGACACTGCAATAGTGTGGATGGGTGGGCAAGACAATCTCTAGGCATTGTTATAGGGGCTGCCAGTCAGTCACTTGCGGTCAACCTGCAGCATTAAAGAAGGGTAGAGAAATGGAAGCCAACTGCACTTCACTTGCAAACTGAGCCTCTGGAAAAGCAAACATTTGACCCACAAGCCAACTTTTAGGCAGTGCAAAGTCCTCCCAGGACCTTGCCAGCTGCAGGGTCTCCTGATTTGTCCTCAGATGTTTACAGATAAGAAAAAGCCAGGACATTGAAAAACACATTGTCCTGTTTTTGAGAAAAAGAAAATCTTTGATACCTATCTACCTTGGCCAGTGCCCTCAGCAGGTCTGACCCCATCTACAGCACAACACTCATCATCTGGTGGGTCAGCCACCCTCAGGTGCATCCCAGAACCACCAGAAACCTAAAATTCACTGGGACTGGCCTTCTCAGCAGACATGGTCTGACCCTATCATCTGCTTATAGGATGTGTCCCTGCCTCAAACATTGGATTTTATTCAGGCTCTCGGGTCCCTGGCCCCCCTGTGCCCCTGCCCATCATCCCAGGCCATCCTAAGCCTCACTGAGCCTTCCTGATTTCTGCCTCCTCACCAGCACACCTTCCAGGTAGAGGTGTGTTGTGCAAGTTTAATAACACCGTGCAATGGAACAACAAAGGAGTTCCTACTTCTCTGCCATCAGACCAAATTTCCCAAATTCCCTAATGGAGTCCATCTTGATGTAAAATCCTCTGAATATGGTGCCCCCTGGGAAAAATATCCCAGCCAAATTCTGGGCCTCCAGCAAACAGGTCAGGCTTGCAGAGCCTAGGCACACAGCCTGGGAAGGGGTGGCCCTCCCCACCAGCAGCCCAGTACCCCTCTCTTGGTGCAGAGTGAGGAACTGAGCCTGTGGTAGACTGTCTAGTACAACAGGGTGCACAGACCCACAGACAAACAGGTGTAATTCCTCACCTGGTACACCCCAATGCTGCAGTATGGAAATGGGAGCTTTGAGTCATGAAAGTCTTATGAGTTTTGCAAATGATGCATAAAAATGTTTGACAAAACCAAACATTCTTTTATGATAAGAACCCTTGAGAATCTGGGTATGGAAGAAACATTAACCAAACAGAGGCCAAATTAGACCAATGCACAGCTGATATCATACTCAATGATGAAAGGTTGCATGATTTCCTCTAAGGTGAGAAGCAAGACAAGTGTCCCCTCCTACTGCACATATTCCATGTACACTGGGATTCAATGCCCCACTTGAGGCCATCAGGCAGGAAAAAGGCACAGAAGGCATCCATACTGGGCAGGAGGAGGTGGCACTGTCTGCTCGGGGTGTGACTTGCATGTAGGAAACCCTGAACACCCCACCTAGAAACTGCTGGGCTGACGGACAGAGGACGGAAAGCTGCAGGATACAAGACAAGTAGACGGAGCTCAGTGCATTTCTGTCCAAAGCAGTAAATGACCAGAACGAAACAAGGAAAACAATCCCCTCTGCGACAGCATCAAACACAGGGACACAGTTCAGATAAATTTAATCAAGGGAAGATTCATACAGCAAAATGCAGGATTGAGGAGAGAAACTGCAGAAGCACAAAGAAATGGCAGCTCCCCACATTTGTCCACATGAGAGTCAATATTGTGGAAATGTCCCCACGTCACCAGCCATCTTTAGGTTCCCTACCGAATCCCTATGCAGTACCTATGGAAACTGTAATGGCATTTTTTACATAAATTAAAATATCCTCAAACTCACTTTTAAACATGGAATAAAACAAAACAATCCTGGGGAAGAGCACAGCTCGAGGACTAACTCTCCCTGACTATAAATGGGACTCAAAGCTACTGCACGCAAACCCCGTGGTGCTGGCAGGGACACCATCACCCAGACCAGCAGGACAGGCGGAGATCCAGGGATGACCCCACACAGATGGGCTCAAGCGGTACTGACGGGAGCCCAGGGCCCTCAAAGGGGAAAGGCCGTGGGTACTGGCTCCCTGCTGCATTGGATGTTTGGCTTCTTCCTGCAGAAGATCCCGCCCTGCCCACGTCAGCTCCGTGTTGTGGGGTCTGCGTGAACCCAGCCAGTCCCATGTGAAGCACATTGGGGCAGTGGCTCCTAGGGGTGATGTGTGTCTCTGCTGGGTCTCCAGAGAGCTCAGGATCACCCAGTAATCCCTGTGCCTGTATCCTGATTGGCTATTGTCCCCTTATGTGCTCCTTTGTAGTATGCATGCCAGCTGTGATAGACTCCGGGGCCACAGTCACCTGCAGTGGTTGACTGGGTAGGGGTTGGACAAGAGGAGCCCCTGATGTGTTGACTGAACCTGGTTCCTGGGTGGGTGTGCAGCCTGGGACTGGGTGAGGCCTGGTCGCGTTCCTGTCCTCCAAAGTGCTGATGCCCATGGGCCTGTGCCATCCATGGATTCAGGGATGTTTCTGTCCCTCCCTACTATGCCCTCAATAGCCCTAGGCCTTGTCCCTCTGTGCCCCCAGCTCCCAACTTGGAGGCCTTCCCTAAAAATCAAGTCTTCTGTGCCCAGTAAAGTAGGGGTTGTGGTTCTCAGCAGGACTGCGGGGCTGACCTCTGGTGCCTCCAGATCCTACTGGTCCCCCAGCACAGGATGTGGTTTGATGGCTCTCCTGAAGGCCGGGTCATCATCTCCATAGTGGACATGGGCAGGGGGACTGCATGCATTTCTGCAGGGGCTGCTCATCCTCTTTCTCAGGCTGAACCCATGGGAGGACAGCTTTTCGTGGTTTGTCCCCAACCTAGAGGAAAGGGGTTCAGGAGGATGGGGAGCCTTTGTGTGGCCCTGGAGTATTTCCCATGATAACACCTTCACTGCACGTTGTGTCCAGACATCATGCACATTTCCAGCTTTACCTGTAATAATGTCTATGCCACTCAGGGCCCTCTGCCCCAGATAAGGACATTTTCTGGCCAAATGGCTATTATCTGAAAGACAAGAAGTAACAGGCATTGGCAAGGATGTGGATGCAAGGGAACCATCACGCACTGTTGGTGGGAATGTAAATGTGCACAGGGACTATGGAAACAGCACAGATGATCCTCAAAAACATAAAAATACAAATGCCATAGACCAGTAAATTCACTTCTAAGAATTTACTGGAAACAAACAAAACCACTACCTCAGGCCGCCCTGTGTTCTTTACAGCATCATTTACAAGAGCCGAGATACAGAAGCAACCTGAACATCCACCAGCAGGTGGACTGACAGGGAAGATGTGACACATGTACCCAAGGGACTATTATTCAGACACACAAAGAATGACATCTGCCATTAGTGGCAACATGGCTGGACCCTGAGGGCATTGTGCAAAGTGAGGTGAGTCAGAGGAAGACAAAAGCCATATGACTTCACTGACATGGGGGATGAAAAAGCAAACAAATCAGAAATAGACTCAGATAAAGGGAACAAACTGTGGCTCCCACAGGGAAAGGGCTGGGGGAGCAGGCGAGAGAGTAGAATGGGGGAGACTGCAGGGGTACACTACGTCACTGAGATGAAAGTGTCTGATAGGGGACATAGGCAGTAACACTGTGGCCACCTTGCATGGGGACGGACGGGCACCAGCTTGCTGGTGAGCATCAGTTGGTGCATATGCTGTCCGAGCTCCACGTCTTACACCGGGCACACCACTGCCGTCAGCTGCACGTCACTGAACAGAAGTGAAAGGACAAGGTGAGCTCTGCAGGGTCTCTCGAGGGCTCCTCCTGCTACAGCGATGATGCTTAATAAACACAGCGAGAGTTTTCTACACAAGCATTTATGATAAACAAAATAAGCATGAGCACAAGTGAACATGTGACATGCCTCCACTTTTAAAAATGCACAGAAGGAGAAGCACCCTGAAGCGGCACAGGGAAGATCAGTCTCTATGCTGGGACAGGGTGCGGAGGGGACAGGAAGGGGCATTTGAGGAGAACTAAGGGAGACTGAGGGGATCGATGTGTTCGCTGCTGATAATGCTGATGCTCATCTCAGCATGTATCAAATGCACATTCCAAATATGTCCGCTTATTGCACATAAATCATGCCTAATTAGAGTGACTGCATGTAAAGAAATGGGTGATGTGTCAGGGAAGGGCTGATAGACAGTAAAATGTTAGAGAATCTCCAGAATTCATCTGCATAAAACACCAGTCAGAGCAAAACCATCTTGTCCTCATGACGGTAAGGGGGGCTGCAAACCCCATGAGGTGCCCCCAGCTCATCCCCAAGCTGGTGCAGGGAAGCCGTCAGGCCAGTGGGAAGGCTCCCAGAGCCAGACCCTGGGGTTCGGGCTAACCTGAGGGTCACACTGTATGCTTCACAAGATCTCTGTTATTCAGGTGTAGCTTCCCATCTCTAACATGGGGTAACACCTACGCACACTATGCTCCTTGTGTGAAAAAAATAACACAGGAGTGTTAAATGTTCCCTCTAGGAAAACTACAAAATGATTAATCACATTTTGTGAAATGTGATAAATGCCACCAAATCCAAGGCTCTGACCCTGCTCTGAGACTCTACACCCTCCATAGACATCCAGCTCCAGGGCTGCCGTAGAGTCAGAGCTCATGCAAATGGGGCGCTCCCTGTGCTGATGAAAAGCAGCCCAGCCCTGACCCTGCAGCTCTGGGAGAGGAGCCCCAGCCCCGGGAGTCCCAGGTGTCCACAGTTGGTCATCAGGACTCAACACACACGGCTCACCATGGAGTCTGGGCTGAGCTAGGTTCTCCTTGCTGCTCTTCTAGGAGGTGATGGATGGGGAACAGGAGACCCAGGGTGCGGGGAGGTGAGAGGGGTTCAGTGGATGTGCAACAGGTGCCTGACCAGGACGTCTCTGTGTTTGCAGGTGTGCAGTGTGAGGTGCAGCTGGTGGAGTCTGATGGAGGCTTTGTGCAGCCAGGGGGTCACTGAGACTCTCTTGTGCAGCCTCTGGTCTCACCTTCAGTAGCTATGATATGAGCTGGGTCCCCCAGGCTCCAGGGAAGGGGCTGCAGTGGGTCTCAGCTATTTGTAGTTGTGGAAACACTTACTACACTGAGTCCGTGAAGGGCAGGTTCACCATCTTCAGAAACAACGGCAAGAACACTTTGGATCTGCAAATGGACCACCTGACAATCGAGGACTCAGTCCCTTATTACTGTGAGAGACACAGTGAGGGGAAGTCAGTGCGAGCCTGACAGCAACATCTCTGCAGGGACACAGTTGTGGTAGGGCTGCAGGGGCTCAGGACACCAGGGGGCTCAGGATCCAGTGCAGGTTCAGCCCCAGGAGCAGGTATAAAGGGAAGGGAAGGGCTGCTTTCCTGTGAGGTCTGGGGCTTCCTCTCCATGTAGGACTGTGCTCTGGGCATGAACCTCTGTCAACTCAATTCTGTTTACCTATTAAGTGTCTGGATTAGAAGCATCTCTGGAAAATGAGAGACCTACACTCATATGCATAAAGGGCAAAGAGTCATATGCTGTGGCTCACCCAATCCCTGATAAATAATTATAATTATTTTCACATAAGTCATATAAATCCACAAAACAGGCTCATCTGGCCTCCGCAACTCAGCCCACACCCCCAGGGGCCCAGCTGCCAGGTGGGTGTCAGGCAGCAGAGGCCTCCTGAATCCACAAGAAGAAAGGACAGGCCCCTGTGGGGTCACTGTCCACACCAAGCTCACAGCATCCATGTAGGGGACCCCACACAAAGGTAGGCCGACCCATGAAGCCCACATGGACTTGGAGCATCGTGATGCAGGACACACCCTCCAGGGGACATAAATCCTGCACCCCCTCCATCAGCGGGTGTGGAGAGAGAGCGGCCTGTCAGCAGGGCAGAAGTGGTTTCATAGAGCCAGGACTGGAGGCTGGTTCAGGGGTTACTGAATGTCAGGGTGGTCAGGGGTGTGGGTCCTGCTCCCAGGAGGGGCTTCTGCAGGGGCTCCCATCTCCCATCTGCATGTGATGAGGGGAGCCTGGCTTCCTATCAGATTCCCACGTGTGGGCATAGGGAGAATGGGGGGTAAGAGTGTTGGGGCTGGCGGTTGCCTTCTATGTTTTGGGGTGATGTGAAGAGCAAATAAGGCAGCAGGAGTCACGGAGGGAGCTTAAAGAGGCCCCTTCATTCTGCAGAATTCGATGTGCGGTAAAGCACGGGTGTCCCCTTGTGCGCCTGTGAGTATATCCAGAGCCATTCTGGTTTGTAAAGTCACCTTCCGCATCTGGGTGACGTCATCCAGCAATAGGGCTGGCGAGGACCTTGTTACACTCACAGGACAACATGCTGCACCAGGGCGTCTATTTGTAGTTCTACATCTATAGTGCCAGCTGCTAGAAGGAAGATAGCCAGGGGGTAAAACCACCATGCCATCCATTTGGGATGATGCCAGCGGGAATGTACAGCATCCCAGTTATGTGTGGGCCACTGCAAGGTTTGTAGTATCTGTCCTGATATGTCGGGTGGCCCCATGTACAATGGACGGTCCAGTTTGCAGGGAGATAGGACCAGCCATATTCCCCACATATCCAAATGGTTTCTCCTGGCCGGGGGTCGGTCGGCACAGTGCCCACATGGGTGTAACCATCCCACCAGCGCTTACGGGTGTGATTACCTCTGACATTGGCACACAGTTCTCTGGGTAACCAGCCAACCATGAGACTGGGTATGGAAACCTGCTGTTCAGTGCACAGCGGAGCTATGGTTTGCAAGGTGACACGTGTACTAGACATCCGTCCCCACCCATTATACACGGTCCTCCCCCCAGGCAGAGTGTGTGCTGACTGCCGGATCAACTGCTCAGTCACACACTGTTTTGCTTCACCTTCGGCATCACTGCAATTCCGTGCTCGAGGGCGTTCTGATGCACAGGTTGGGGAGCGATTTCCACAGCAGTCCAGCAGTAATTTCCTTGGGCAGTTCCATACACACCCAGCCATGGGACGCATTATGTACCTGGGCTAACGTACGGGCCCGTGCCACCATGCTATTGCTCTCTGTCAGCCTGGGCAGAAAGACAGGGCAGACAAAGACACCATCAATGGCAAGTCTTGGTTCTCCGAGAAGGTACAAGTGACCTTGTCATCTTGTGACAAAACAGGGGCTGCCTGGGTGGCTTTCCTGGTCTTTGATACCAGACCACAGTGCCCAAGGACACTGGCATAGCATCAGGTTAAGCCTTCAACAGAAATTGTGGTATTGGACACACTGACATGACCAAAGTCCCTGCTGGTATGGCTGTTGCCCTCTCCGGCAAGGAGGCAGTCCATTTAAAAGGCCACCTTGCTATCCATGGGGTACCTTGTGACCCATGGGTCAGCCCTCCCCCCATACCTCATACAAGATGACCCATGAATGTCCTTCAAACACCAAGGTCCACAACCAGATCCGCTCCTCTGACCGGCCAGGAGACAGCGTATGTGGGGCAGGAAGGAGCAACGTTTCTTCCAGCAACTGTGGCTGCAACTCACTGGGGCCTTATTTCAAATATTTCAAGATGTATGGGTGAGTCACCACCGACCTCCCTGTGGGGCTTTCCCTGTTTTCCCTGGTGGCTCACTCAGCAAGCACACCACTGCAGGCAAGAGCTTCACCCACTGCATCCATGCTAAATGTTTCAGTCCCTCTTGCATGGGTACCCGACGACGATGCGGGTAAAAGGAAGTGCATTGAGCGCATGCTTGCACTGTTTGTTTTACATCAGCAAACGACAGCAGAATATTCCACCTCTGGGCAACTTTACCCATGTTCCTAGGGCCTACATACCCTAGTTTCTTATGCAACCATGACCCCATGTCTGTAGGGGGCATTCCTGGAGTATATGAGCCCCTGCCAAGGCATTGGCCACATCATTCACAGGACTTAGTGCTGGGCGGTGTCCTGACACGCATGGATTAGGGGCCCTTCCTTTAACCCATGGGTCCACAGGTCCTTCCACATCGATTGTTCCCGCAGTGGGCGATGTCCAATTCCCCAGGCCTGTGCTGCCCACTGAGGCAGCCAGACAGTGAAGCCCCAAAACCCAGCCCAACTTTCTGTGCAAACGGTTATCTGACCTAATCCCCTAGTCAAAACAAGCCACATCACCTATAATTCAGCCCACTGGCTGGATGGCCCTACACTGGACTCATACCAGAACTCTTCCTGTAAGGGCTGAATGGTGACGGCCACCCATGTCAGTGGGTGGCCCTTTGCAGGTCCATCTGTATACCAGGCATCCACTGGTGGTCTCCCTGTCCCCTCCTCATAGGGGCACAGCGTTGGTGCATCCACACTCAGAAAGGTGGGTGCGGGTCCAACCACAAAAGTTAATGGTCCCAGAGTTGCTGCAACTCCTATGAAGTGGCTTTTAGAGAGTCTAGCCTGTTGTTCTAAGTAGGTTCCCCATTTGGTCAGGGTGGGTGTCTGCACAGCCCCAGTCTGGGGAGCTGTGGACCAGGATCACACCCACCCCTCAATCGGAAGGGCAGTAACCACCTGTACTGCCTGCATTCCCGTCACTCCTTCAGGAGCCAGTAAGGCCGCATACACACTGCCAGCTGTTTTTCCAAGAATGAATACAGGATCTCAGTTCCATTTTACAACTGAGGCTAAAATTATTGGGGCTTTGTGGGCCCTGTGCTTCTACCATAATCCCCACGCGTACCCGTCCATGCTGGCAGACACCGTCAGCAGGAAGGTGTGGAGGGGTCAGAGACTCACAGCATCTGGGCCTCAGCCACTGCTCCTTTTGTCTCAGCAAAAGCCTTTTCTATCTCTGGTGCCCAGTCCCATGTTTCCCCTCGCTTTATAATGGATGCAGTGCCTTCACCAGCATGGCTAAGTGAGAGATAAACATTCCCCAATACCCCAACAGACTTACGTATGTTTGTAGCTGCCTAACATTTTCTGGGGGGTTACTCGTGTATTTTATCAATCACTGCTTCAGGCAGTACTTTTGTCTCACCCAACCAGACACACCCAAGAACTTGACAGAGTAACCAGGTCCCGGCACCTTGTCTTTGCTGACGGCCCATCCCCACCCCTGGAGGGCCTGGTGCAAACTGCAAGCCGCAGCTTCTAGATCTGGGAGAGAATCAGAAGTCAACATTCTGTCATCTACATAAAGGAACACTTGAACCGAGGGTGGAGGGGACCAGGTGGCCAGGCCACTAGCTACCAAACCATGACACAAGTAGGACTGTCAAGTATCCTTGCAGGAGGACAGTGACTGTCCACTGCCGGCCCTCCCACATGAAGGCAAACTGATCCTGGCTTTCTGGGCAATGTCAGTGGAAAAGAAGGCACTAGCCAGATGCAACAGAAAGCGGTAAGTCCCCAACGTCACAGTCAGTGTCTCCGTCAGCTCAGTAACGTGCGGTACTGCAGAGTGCAGCGGGGAGTCACGTTATTTAGTTTCCGACAGTCCACTGTCCTTGTCCAGGTGGCGTCAGGCTTCTTCACAGGCCACACGGGTGAATTATAAGGGCCGTGTGCCAGGCGGATGATGTGTACTTCCTCCAAGAGCCTCCTGCATCCACTAGTGCCAACACCTGCTGTCCATTGTGTGGGGACCAGTGAATGGCAAGCTTGACAAATAGCCTCCGGTGTCCGGTGTCTCCATAGGCTGGGCGCCTCAGCTCCACGCCTAGTGGGGGAAGAAGTCAGTGTGCCAGGCACGGGTCCCTGGTCCGCCACAGCGCTTGCCCGCTCCTGCTTCGGGCGCTGGGCAATAGTGTTGGTCTGGACGCAACGGCTCCCAAGGTCCCATCAGGACCGCTGAGGGCTGCCCACCAAGCTCTCATGAGCCAAGGCAGCAGCCAAAGGCCAGCGCACCCCGTCTGCGGCTCACTTCCAGCGGTCCTACCGCGGCCGTCTTCTTTTTTCCTTGTGCAGCTTCACCGCGGTAGTTCTCACTTTGGTCGCCTGAGGTCGCTTTACTTCCACGTCTCCCAAGTGAGCGAACGTGGACACTGCTTTGTATTCTGACAGCTGTCTTCTCGCAGTCACAACAGCCAGGCAGGCCCAGATTAACACAGAAGCTGCTTACACTGTTTGGCCAAATTCTGCAATTCCATGGCCGTGTATGTCGTTAGTCGGGTAGCAATCGCGGGGCCACCTGGCTGGGCCCATCCCATGGGTTCCTGCATCTCCACGCGTTGCCGCACTGCAGGGTGAGCGTGTAAAGCCAATGATGCTGTGCCGCCCTCCGGGCTTC